ACACACCTGTTAGATCAAACTCTGGAGGGAAAACCAGGGAGGCTGTGGTTGTGTGCCGTTATCCACGTGATTTTATGATCACATAACTTTGGGTTGTCTTATCCAGGAACAGTGTCTCTCAGAGTTTAACATGCATACAGACAAACTGCAATCCTCTTAAAATACAGATGACTCAATTAAAATGATGCAGTAAGTCCAGTCCAAAGTTGGAGATTCTATTATTTCTGAGAGTTCCAGGATGATGCTGACTCTGCCAGTTGGTCTGTTAACCATTCTTTGAGTAGCAAGACTCTTAGAAAACCTTTAGGAAGCACTATTTGAGAAATGTTGATTTAACCCATTCATCCAACTGTATCACTTAATGACTGGGAGAGTGATGTTCAGGAAGGTTAGGTGACTTGCTAGAGGCCACGCTGCAGAGGGAAGATAAGGAAACAGACCTTACCTCCTTTACCCCTCCCTGAGTGCTCTTACTCCAGAGCCATGCTAATTTTTTTCTGTGCAATGAGTGTTTGAGAACCATAATAGAAAGGAGAGGTCATGGGCATTTGTGTGTTTCCCTGAGAAAAGCAGTGATTGCTTTCCTGCTCTGTTTCTGAGTAAATTGCATCCTTCCTCACAGTCAAGTTTTTGCATGTATATTTTTATATATTTTTAATATGTTTTTATTGCTTTTTTTTTTTTTTTAGAGAGAGAAAGGGAGAGGGAGAGAGACATCAGTGTGGGTGAGAAACATAGATTGGTTGCCTCCTGTATGAACCCCAACTGGGGACTGAATCCGAAACCTGGGCATGTACCCTGACCAGGAATGAAACCTGTGACTTTTTGGTACACAGGACACGCTCAGCCAACTGAGCCACACTTGACCAGGGCTCCATATATATTTATATGTATGCGTAGTTACATTACTTATTTATACTGATATGTTTATGTATTATATATTTATATATTATATATTCATATATATTTATATATGCTTTACATACATATAAAATCACAACACATTGCTTGCTGCCTTAGTGGCTATAAAACAGGATGTAGCCAATGTTCCTGTCATCTTAAACTTGTATATCCCTTAATAATTCCACTCGGTGTCAGAGATGTTGGCTGCCCATCCAACTTCCTGGGACTGGAAAAAGCTGAGGCCTGGTTTCCAAAGTGATTTTTCTACAGGGGAAAATAAATAAGTAAAGCCAACCCACATTTTACCCCCACCAAGTTGGCACCAGTCCATCCCTAGGGAGCATCTCCCACAGGCCTTCTCTCGTTTGTCTGTTCCAATCCAGCTGGAGGTAGTCGGGCTGCTGTGGCATCTGTTACTGCTGCTGCTGGACCATTGTCAAAACTGGGAATATTCAATTATGCGTCCTTCTATTTTCATGGGTGAACATTTGGCTGCTTAGCCATTGCTT